GTTTCATGGGTATCGTAGCCCCATATTTCTCTTTCGAATGGTGAAAACCGCACCTCTCTATCTATCACCGTTCCGGAGCTATAAGGTCAACACTGACCGGCCATTCTATTTTGAAATGGATAGTAGATTAGAACCATACTTTGTTTTTTGAACTTGTTTAAGACGAACATAGGCGTCTTGTCTTGAGCCCGTCGTTTGACTAACAGACTGAGGTAAATAGAACCAGCTATCAGCGTTGTTGTTACGACTGACATCAGGAGTAAATTTTAACTGATCATTAATTGTAGTAATCAGACTTGCTAATACTGGATTTGTTTTCAATCCTGGTAATCTTTCAATGTTTTGTGTTACATCGAGCCAACCGTTGAATTTATCCTGACTGACATTTGCATAAGCTGTATCATATTCGTAATTTTCAACTAACTTCCAATACTTTTTCATATTTTTATAATTCCATGATTCATCTCCAGTAATCTGTCCAATATCATCCCAATCAAATGGATTTGGTGCAAATGCAATTAATGTGTTATGTCTTGAACATCCTCCAACAGTACTTGCTCTTGGATATAGTATCGTTTGGTTAATTGATGTGTTATACGTATATGGTTCGAAGTCCCATCCAATAATTGGATCATTCTCAGCTAATGGTGCAAAAAAAGGAATCGTTGCGTTTGTCGTATTGTAATCGGGTCCAGCCTCAATTACAAGTACTTTGAAGCCACGTAAAGCAAGCCGACTGGCTACAATTCCTCCACCTGGACCAGAACCAACGACAATGAAGTCATATTCTGCGTGTTTCTTCTCTTCCATACATTTAAGTGCATATGTATGCATAAACAGCTGAAGAATTATGAATATCAAAACAAGATTTATTATCATTGGTTACCGGTAAAGCTGTGATATGGTATGTATCTAAACGAAAATTATTTATCAAAAATCTTACTGATCTTAAATTAAATGCAACAGAGATATGAACCTGTTACCGGTTCGTGTATTTAAATGGACACCAGTTTACATCTCTGAAATGCAAGTCGTATGTATAGAGAGAAAAGCTGTGTGAAAGCATTCTGTATTTGTATGTATATGTCTTCCAATTAAAAGACAGTCAGATACCTATTCTCAAATTAAAAGGCAATCGCACATCTGTCTCTAAACGAGAATGAGTACATAATAACTTTGCTGTGTTTTCTTATATTCATTTAGACAAATGATATACAAAATCTGTTACATTGACTTCAAATCGTTTATTTTATTAGTCCCATCAAGTACGTTTAAAGAGCTTCTAGGTGCATGCAAAATGAAAATCATTCTTCCTTTAAAGCCCCTCAATTGAGGATGGGCATAGTTCAGGACTTTTAATAATCAGTCTTACTTAAGGATTGGAACTACAATGGAATAAGAATGTTTTGATGCGCACAAGAAAATTGCACACCGTGAAAGTTACGCAAAGGCAGGTTATGCATGAAACAAGAAATTCTTTCAAGAAAAAGATATTATGGAGCTCAAGAATTTAGTACACAACACAGTTATTATCTAATACTTTGTTTATGCTTCAAAAGATATGTGTTCGAAAAGAATTACCGACTCTTCCGCGAATACCTGATAATGTATTCTTTTCGCTTTTTCTGAAATATCATTATGACATTTTCATTAATTAACTCATATCTTCGTAAAAAAGACGCATGGGCTCAAACCAACTTAGCGTTTTTCACTGCTCACTATTCCCTGCATAATGAAAACAGTCTGACGTGAGTCGAAAAGCGATTTATCACCTTGAGCGGTTCCCTCGTCAGACTGAAAAGATACCCCGTTGAATTCTACAAGACTTGTATCAAACGTTTTTCTGTAAAAGACGAAACAAAAATATGAAACCAAGGATACTCAACACGTTCAAAGGGATCAGCTTCCTAAGCTCAAAAATGGTTTTTAATAGTTGTTCGTTGGCTAGTGGTCAGAAAAATACTGTAGTACTGGCATTTTGTTGCTCTTAAAAAACTCTATCGATCGATCATAATTTGAAAATTGTCATGCTCACTCTTGCGATGTATACCAACAATCTTCTTTTTCCGATTTTCGAGTTGGCTAGAATTTATTACTTCTTTTTCTGTTGATTACTGTTCTCTACGGCACAGCAGCATCGTGTTGGTCAACTTTATTTGCACAAATCTAACGCCTTTATTTGTCAATTCTAATAAGTTTAAGTCAAAACTTCCTCTTGCAAAAACAGTCTTCTCTCTGATTTAACTTTAACGATTATTTTAGTCAACATCTGGACAAGTTTTTCGTCCATCGCACTTTTCATCTGTTGATGTCAATTTAAAGATGTTGCTCAACACTGCAATACTTTTTCTGCATCTCCTATTGTCTTCCTCAATGATAACAAAAGTAGTTAGAGATCAAACTGATGAATACAAGAAAAGCACTTTGACCATATTGAAATTAGTTCATCAGTATTCGCCACCATTTTGTCAGTGCAACTGTTGAAGTTGAAGGTTTCGATCAATCATGAATATTATCCTGATGAGGTTGACGATATTCATAATTTTTGATAGAAGCTAAGACTAGCTTGTCTTGATGAGTTCAACTGGTTTTTGTCTCAAATCCAGTACACACAACTAAAAGTCTTGTAGTTTTTTCCACTTTAGCATATCACATAAATGTTTTTTCCAATAAAGAACATTTTGAAAATTCCTATCATCTTAAACATATCTTGCCAACAAACAAAAAGTCTTTTTTAATGAGTTTCTGGTTTTCAATTGATTCGTTCTTGGACTAAAAATGTTTGCATAGAAACATGTGCATACATGGACTTTGATAGATTGAACCATACAGGAAAACGTATGAAATGAATCGCATTCTTTCATCTAATTAGAATTAAAACTGTTTCTCTCTTGCATGAACAGATGTGAGAAAATAAAGGTCTTTTTGCCAACGGACTAGCTTTTTCCAAACGTTCTGTAAGTCTATAACGATTTGATGAATATTAGTATGCGAACAACACTGGCTTCATATAACAATTTTAATCTTAACTATAGTTTCTTTAAAGAAAGACTTTCTTATATTCTCACACTCGTGTCGAAATAATAGTGTCGAAAGTTCTTTTCACATGATTCGGTTTCTTTAAGTACCTTCATGACACCAATACGTTTAAAATGTATTTCGTTGTAAACTGCAACTGTCTGACGCGACAATCCATTTTCTATATATTGTCAACCTACGTAGCTAATTTATATATAATTCCCTTTAGTAGAGGTCATCAAAAATAGGATAATACATATACCCACCATCGTTAAAATTATAGTGATGTTCGAATGAGATTTGTACTTTAAACACGTACTCTGCTCTTAGAGATAGACCGATGCTTAAGTTGAGACAATGCATCCAAAGTCCACGTAGTATTGCTAAAATATAAATATATAGGCCCAGAAAAAAACAGTTAGACTCCGTATTTTGAGCATTTCGTCACTATAAAAACATATTTTTTTAAAAGTAACTACATATTCTGAAAGCCCATGGAGTTTTCTATCACCTTGTATATTTTTATTATAGTTTGTACTTACGTATTACCAAAATTGACTGCAATGAAAGCACCCTCATGTCTAGATTCCACAGACGTGATCTTGTCACTGTCATCAAAATTAGTTTTTTATTCAAGTTAAATTCATTAATTAATTGATTAGCTTTGTTTAGAAATTTATCTGTTAATCTTCTATGATGAACACAAATGACATAGGCATAGACTCTCGTACTTAATTGATAACTAAACGGACACTTACAAGCATCAGCTTTTCATATTAGGCACAGGTTATGTTGGTTGGTTATAGAAGATAGAATACCAGATGAGAGTCATTTAATCGTGAATAACTTATAGAGAGTTAGGTTATCATGATCGATGACAAGAATATGAAAAACACCAGTCCCATATTGAATAGAAAAATAGACAGAAAAGAGAAACGGATGACGATGTATGAACATGTGCAATTTCGTTTTCATGACTCTTATTCACGCCAAACTTATTCTCATTCTCTTCCTTGCTCTAGTGCACATTTTGAGAAGACTATCGAGAAAACAAAGTTCAAGTGCATACGCAGTGTACTCTCTCTTTGTCTCCATATTGCTATGCTACTTTTAACAGTGTTTTGTTAACATAGTCAAAGTCCTATGCTCTTCATTTCTATATAATCTTCAAACAACGTTCGTTCAATGAGAGACATGCACACAATATAATATCTTTATTTATAATATTCTATGCTTTTCGCTGTCTGTTCAGTCTTTTTCCGTAAAAATGTACCAAAAAGTCAGTTAAACATGTCCCTTTTCATCTTGTAAACGCATGGTAAGGCGAGTATATGATTCGGTAAAGTTCAGAATTGATTATCCACTGTTAGCAGTGTTCAGGTTGTCAGACATCTAGTCATTTAACCTCTTGAGTCCCAAATTATTTTTGCTGGATTCAATTAAAGCAGACCATTACACTCCCACAGGATTTTAATGAGAAAATATCGATAAAAATGAGCTTAATTCCGGAGATTTTCGAAATGGTCTACAATAGGGTTTATGGTATGTCATGAACACACTCCAATAAATATTCAATTTTTTAATGTTTAACAGAGTATCTTTAAATGCATAGTTTCCCTCTTTTCTTGATTTTTTTGGGCACAGTTTCGTCAGTGTTTTCTACACTAGTTAAAGATTAAATTATGTTAAAATTATTTTACAAAGCGCTGTATTTATTTTAGGTATTAATGTAACATCATTGAATCAAACTACCTGCATCGAAAAATGGTTCTGGTCGATTTCCGAACTACTGTAATAAACGTTGTTGTTTTCTACAAAATTCTTTCTACCAAAACTAGCAAGTTCAGAGCTTGAGGAAATATAGGATAATGTGTGCACAATAGTTCACTATCCTACCAGATGAATCGAACGTTGTATTAAAATTCATAATGACACTCAACCATCAATAATTATACATTTTAAAGAAACCTCGTGTCAGAAGCTAGAAAACATTGATAATAAAATTAACTAAAGAGTTAGAGCATTTAGTCGACCTACAAAAGCCATAATAATAAAGTTGCTATTGTTTTGGTCAATATTGTATCCAGACTATTAAGATTAATATTATATTTTGATCTAAGGTAACATCTTCAGCCCTTCTTGTCGCATTAGTCATAACCTCTTCAACGTCTTGCTGCTGACATCCTTTATGAATATTATCTTCTCCATAACAAACCTGTACCATTATCACATACATCTGCATGTGAACTTATATCAAATTTGAAACATAATGCAATATATACTGTTTGATTTGGATTTGCAAACCAATATTTGTACAATGGATCCATTATAAATTTTAGTAAGTCATTTGATGTATTATATGCTGTTTGTCTATTTAATGTTGGTGTATCATGATTTAATATAAAACAACCTTCTTCTGGATTCTGTACACGTGCTGTTGCACTACTTGTAGTATTACAAAAAATGAAGGCAATTGAAAATTGAAATCAGTTTTTAACCATTCATGACCTTCTTTTAACATAACGGACGGCCATTCACGTAGATCATTATAGGAGATCATTCGCATATAAACGATATGCAGTTTTAAGGAGAGAACAAAGATTTCTTTATTTTATTCAACATATTCATGTTAAGAGAAAAAATGGATCGAAACATGTCTGTACGAATCGTACATCTTTGTATGAATGCTTGTTGGCTATGAATTTGATAACTAATTCCACTTATTAGTGTAAAAACGGTTAAAGGTAGTACTATTGGTATGCAGAAGCGAAACAACAAAGTTCTATTTGAGAGCCACATTTGGATAAACATTTTAATAAAAAAGTCTATAATAAAGTCAAGAGCGCTAAAATTTACCGATGCGATAGGTTAGTAGAAAATGCTTTGTTGTCCAAAAGGTTATGTGTAGACCTGTAACAGTTCCAGGTCATAAGTTCAGCTCATTTGAGCGAAAGAACTGTTGAACAGTTCTTTTGAAAGGAGCTGATATGTTTGAACAGATCTTTTGAATTTTTAAAAATTGAAATTTTTTCAACGACTACAGCTAAAGCTTTCACGCTGAAGCAAGAGCTTGCTCAGCTCGAAGCACTAGAGAAGGATGGTCAGAAAACATTCAACTTTACTTCCAATATTGAACCAGATGGCATGTCGATTCGGTCCTATACCCGCAACCTCAGTCCCCAGTGAGAGCGCATTCTCAATTACCGAACAAACCGTGCTCGAAAAACACGGTCTTCTCTCTCAGCTAAAAACTTGAAATATTCAATGTTCCTAAAAGATAAACTTTAATCTTTTCTTTAGTCTGCTTTTCTTACAAAGATCATACTTCTTTTATTTTACTTTTTAACCATACTTATCTGAGGAATAAAAAATTGACCATTTTACATGCTTCTATTTATGATTGCAGGACTTCGCTGATATGAACGTCTAATGACCATTCGGGACGTTTAAACTTTGTCTAGACAACTAGTGAGCTGCTCGAACATATCAGCTCCTTTCAAAAGAACTTTTCAACAGTTCCTATGATAGGAGTTGATATGGAACTGTCATACCCCTAGTTATGTGCGCTTATAAAAAGATCCTTTATTTATTTTGTAAATGTCTTGAGACAATCTTCACAAGAGAAATCTATCGACTGATAATATATCTTCAAAAAATTCTAACTTTACCTCAGGATAGTAAATTTGCACAATGAAAAGGTCAGACAGAATAGTTCTTCGAATTTGATGTCTTCATTTGCATAAAGAGGATTTGTCTTTATATGCTATGAAATATACATGCATATTAACAGTGTAGCAGTAAGGACACATGGCCCAAACAAAAGATTGAGTTTCTGCTTCTTTATTATATGAAAGTGCCATTCATCGATGTTCCAGTGCAAAAGACTCCCGTTTTCATACAGCTTGCTTTATGTTCTCAAAAAACAAAAATTTTCGATTTTTAATGCGAAAATGTGAGAAAAACTACTGTGTAAAAGAGAGACAGAATCTGTTCCTCTCAGTTTCCTAGTTATGGTTGTTTTTGTATACTTTTACAAACCATAGTCTGATGTAGTGTGATAACTCGCAACTAAGGCTTTTGATGAGTAAAAGAAAAAAGGTTTAGTATACGCAAAAATCATATAGTCCTGCCGTATGAGTATCTTATGAACGTGTGAATAAATCTTGTAAGAAACCACATGTTAAAGATTATCAAACTTTTTCTTTGCTGTAATAAATAAATCGTTTTTTTCTACATGGCGACAAGGAACAAGGACGCAGACATCCGTGATGCCTAGCAAGTTGCTTGTTGTTTAATCTTGTAATGTTTTTGACTCTGTATTATAATTTAATTCTTATTACTTTGGGTTCACTTTCTCATACTCTACGTCTAGAAGATGATAGAAAAAATAAGAGACTCCTAAAACACCCGCGCGTCTCGGACAACTTTTGATGGGGTAGTGAAATTTCTGAAAATTATCAAAAACTGATTTTCCCAATTTTTGAAAGAGTTCGAACACTAATTCTTACCAAATAGACCTCTTCAACAAAGCATTTTGGAAAGAGAATGTCAACGGAAAAGTTATTGATAATCTCGGGTGCAAGGTTTTCTGAAAATTGACAATTATGA